GCCTGAAATATTTAGTGGCCCAAACAAGGCACAAACACTCTTTTGCTATTGTCGAATAATTATGCTCGGAGTCGTTGAGTGTGCGTGAAGCGTACGCTATAGGGAGATCGTTTCCAGGAGACCCTTGGCTTAAAATTGCTCTCAAAGCTACATTGCTCGCATCCGTCGAAAGGTTAAATGGCTTGGAAAAATCGGGGTACTGCAATATAGGTTCGTTGGTCAGAAGATTTTTGCATGTTTCGAAACATTCTACAAATTCTCGATTGTGTTCGATCTTTGCTCCTTTTTTTAAACGTTTGGTCAATGGTTTGGTGATCTTCGCAAAATTATGAATAAATCTTCTGTAATACCCTAGTAAACCAAGAAATCCTTTAATTTGTTTAGTCGTTGTGGGAATTGGATATTTTTTGATTGCGGCGATTTTATCAGGATTCGGCTTGACTTCCTCAGGTGTAACTACATGCCCGAGGTAAGCAACTTCTCGTCTCAGGAACTCGCTTTTGTCAAGCTGTACTTTAAAATTCGACTCACTTAGTCTTTTGAAAACTTGCTTTAGGTTATCGACATGTTCCTGGAGTGAAGTTGAAAAAACGATTATGTCGTCTAGGTACACAAGACATTTTCCGTATTGTATGCCTCTCAAGATTGAGTCCACGACTCTCTGGAACATGGCGGGGGCGTTCTCAAGCCCGAAGAGCATCCTCAAAAATTCATAATGGCCATTCTCTGTATTGAATGCCGTTTTGGGGATGTCCTCTTCGCTCATCTCGATTTGGTGAAAGCCGGACGCCAAATCTAAGGTAGTAAAATATTGAGCCTTGCCTAATTTGTCCAATAAGTCTGTGATATTAGGCAATGGAAATTTCAGTTTTCTGTAATCGATGACCACTCTTCATTTTTGTTGTCTTGTCGCGTCTAGTTTTCTGGGTACCACCCAGATGGGACTTGACCACGGACTATTTGATGGTCTAATTATTCTTTGGTCAAGCATTTTTTTAATTTGGCTTTCTACTTCTCTTCTGTGGATAAACGGGTACCTATAAGTTTTGTTGTAAATGGGAATTTCATCCGAAGTTCGAATATTGTGTTTTATCTTTGTTGTAAATGAGAGTGGTGTATTTTCTTGATAAAATACATCAGCAAATTCCTTGCAAAGGTGTAAAATTGTTTTGCGTTCTTCTGGGTTCAGGTGGTTTACGCGGATTTTCGAAAGGTCCAAGTCTGGAGGGGGCGAATCGTCAAAGTGGTTTAGGTCAATATTTTGGAGTTTTTTGAGGCAGAATTTTTCTACCATTAGAGGTTCTGAAAAATCGAGTGTGATGGCATCGCATGAGTTATTTAAAATCGTTGTTAATGCGTAACGGTTTTTCGCAATAGTTAGAGATTCGAAAATTTCACAATTGTGAATTTTTTGATGGGGAATGTTTATTTCTCCAATATTAATAGAAGTCTCCACTTTTATTATTTGTTCGCTTCGTGGTTTTATTGTGATACAATTGAGTTCAGTTTGGGTTTTATGAAATTTTAGTTTAATTTTTGCATGCGGCGTTATTAAAAATCCGGTTTTGAAATCGACATTTGCTTGGAATCGTTTAAGATTGTCAAGGCCTATTAGGCCGTCGAAAACGTTGTGGAATTTGAAAAGATAGAATTTCAAATTTTGACTCGCAGGCAAATTGAAAATTTTTGAAGTTGAAATCAAAGTGCTAAATCTGTGAGCGGATTTTTGAAAAACTGTACTGACGATGAATGGGTCTCCTTGGATGTAATTTGAGAAATATTTCTGGGCTAAATCTGGGTTAAGGAAAGATTTTGTAGAACCGGAGTCAATTAGCAGTTTTATGTTATTTTCGGGAAATATTTTATAGGGTGTCCATTTAGTGCGATATCGGACGACATCTCCTTACAGGGTGATGCAAGAAAAAAAATTTAAATTACAAAGTTGTTTGATACTCTAATATGCATTAGTTAAAAATATTTTTGAATATACAGGGTGCTCCGTTTATGGGGTATGCGACAGAACTTTGTTATTTTAAATGGAACACCCTGTATGTGATTGGCTATTTAGATTCTACGTAAAATTCTGAGCAGATTTCATGTGATATACCTTATACCTAAGTTCAACTGTTTTGGAAATATTGACAGTTGAAAATTAACTTTTTGCAACTTTGACAGGCTGTAAAACCTAAACGGTTAATTTTAGACGAAAACCGATTTTACATTCCTGTCTTAGATTTTTATGAACTATCATTTGACACCAACTTTGAATTTAATCCATGATTAAAAATTCCAGTTAAATTTAATCTCCGGTTAAATTTAAAGTTGGTGTCAAATGATAGTTTATGAAAATCTAAGACGGGAATGTAAAATCGGTTTTCGTCTAAAATCAACCGTTCAGGTTTTACAGCCTGTCAAAATTGCAAAAAGTCAATTTTCAACTGTCAACATTTCCAAAACAGTTGAACTTAGGTATAGGGTGTATTACATGAAATCTGCTTAGAATTTTACGTAGAATCCAAATATGCAATCACATACAGGGTGTTCAATTTGAAATAACAAAGTTTTGTCGCATCCCTCATAAACGAAGCACCTTGTATATTCAAAAATATTTTTAACTAATGCATATTAGAGTATCAACCAACTTTGTAATTTAAATTTTTTTTCTTGCATCACCCTATAAGGAGATATCGTCCGATATCGCAGTAAGTGGACACCCTGTATATGATAATTCGCTCGAATTTGTCATATTCAAGGAGATGACCAAGTTTGATTGTCCTCTTGAGGCGGTATTTGAAATTTTACATCTTCCTCGGGTAGGTCAGTTTCATTAGTATTATCATAGGTCGGGATTGGTACCAAAGATTCGTTGGTAAAATTTTCTGGGTAATTATATTAATCGGAAGAAGGGTTTTCTTCAGTACTATAGTAGTATTGAGTCTCCGTGTCATTGTAATTGTTCTCGAAATCACTGGAATAGTACTGGTATAATTGGTCGGGTTCATTCATTTCAGCATTATATAATTCTTCGAAAGTATATTTCGGCTGGGTTTGGTACGAGGTTAAAGGTTGGAATCTAGGAGTAGATGGCGTAGTTTGGGATTGTTTTGGCTTAAATTCAGAAGTACAGACGCTCATTGGTTGTGGTGCTGGTAGCGGCCTGTTTCGATTGGGATTTGGTTTAAACACGTTCGATTGGTTTGGTTTTCCAAACACTCTAGAATTTGCGGCAAAATTTCTCGGAGTATTATTGAAATTTGGCCTTATATTTATAGGTTGGGATGGAAATCTCGTATAGATAGAATTTTGTTGAAACAGATTGTGTGGCGTCCGGGAATTAAAATTAGAATAATTATAGTTTGGTTGGGTAAAACGTTGCGGCAATGGTAATGCCTTGAAATTGTTTTGTTGGGGTTGTTTAAAACCTTGGTTAGGCTGACGAGGTACTGGTCTCGTTGAATTTTGGAAATAGTGGGTGTTATTTTCCTGTATGACCATTTGGAGAGCTGCAGCTAGATTGGTGGGACGCATGCAGCGTATGGGTGTGCCTAAGATCTCTCGTAATCCGGAAAGGAAAGTTTTTAGAGCCAATTCGTTAAACAAAGATTTTTTAAAAATTTTACCTGTGGGGGTGCTTTCATGGATGTCAATGTGTGAGCAAAGCAGGTTTAAAATATGGAGAACCCTATCATAAAATTGGCTAGGCAGTTCATTTTGATTTTGCCTTAGCATGACCAAATCTCTATTGAGACAAGATTCGTCTCTTTGATCGGCGAAATTGCGCCTTAATGTATCCTTTAAATCGTCCCATGTAGAGACATTTTGGATATTTACAACAACCTTTGCGGTTCCTGTTAGTTTACTTATCAAGCTATGTTGTCAAATAATGTTTTAAGTCGTTAGGGTTTCCATCAAAATCTGGAACGCACTCCAAATATTCTGGTTTGAAGTCAGAAATGATGCTTGAATTTGAATTTAAAGTAGAATTGAAACCGGTTAATAGATTATTAGATAATTGATTATTATCGTTTGGGTCAGAGTCAGTTGAAGGGCTTATAGAAATATTACTTAAAGAATTGATTATATCATCTAAATTCGGCATTAATCAAAGAAAAATTGCACACTTACATAACTAAGAAAATGTTGGCCATATCTCACTATGGGAAGAGCTGCTCCAGAAAGGCGATGTAATCAAGTCTAAAGTTGCTATGCCCACGGAAATGCCCAATGTTGTGGCAATTCCCAAATAATCCGTAGATAGTATTTGGCGATTAAATACTTCCACAAATCACTTATTGTCCGTCAAAGTTCAGTTACCTGGAGAATCCGATATTTACTCGAATTAGTCTCTGAGATTTTTTTCCTAACTCGCGAACCGTTCGATTTGTCAATTAATCGTACAACCAAAAGAATTTCTTCGATAGATAAGCTTTTGACAAATCCTACCGACTGCGCCAGTTAACAATCTCGATAGGCCAACTTCATTTTTAAAAAACATTTATTTAAGTTTAATACAAAAGCACTTAAAAATACTGACTAAGTCTCACAATAAAATTCTAATTATTTTATAAGATAAATTATACGGGGTCAGCATGTCGACTCAGGTTGTTTGGCTGTTTGGTGGTGACATAACTCAATGCATAAAGCTTATGAACAGAAACAATAAAATTAGTGGTCCTCGAGGAAAATTCTTTGTATCAGTAAAAATGTACGTTAGGACAATGCAAAATTACAATTTTACGTTGGTAAACATGAATCGAAGTTATATTAAGTGAATGAACAGTGTTTCATTGGATCGGTGAAATATTTCATTCAATTATTAGAAAAAAAATAACAACCGTTATTCTTATTAAATATTATGAATTGTTTTTTTTTTGCTGTGGGGAGCTTGCAAATTAAACATTCAATTTATTTTCTTGTGCTCACTTTATATTCAAAGTTATCGGGAGCTCATTGTCAACACTGCATTTCCTAATTTTCAATCCAAACACACATATTTTCAGGTACCAACGTCAATCCTGTTCGCCTACGTTCACCTAACGGAATACGATCTTCGCCATGGAAAACTCCATCAAACACCTTTACATTTCCAACACAACCAGCTGTTACTCCTGTAACTGATAACTTCTTCGATCCGTCCGAAGTGTTCAACAATTTCCCCCATGTTTATTCATTTGCTGGATCTGACCCTGAGCCCGTGGTGAATTCTTTGAGTGGCAAAAATGTCAGACAAAATAGCGATAAAGATTTGGACTTCGAAGAAGAGACTAAGGAAGGCTGCGATGACCAATGCGATGGACAGGGGTGCTTTGGAAAGGGACCTACCAAGTGTATAGCTTGTAGATTCAAGAGTATGGATAAGTACGTGTTGAGATTTTTTATTGGAATATTTTTTGTCAAGTAATGTTAATTTTTTAGAACATGTGTAAGTACTTGTCCTCCAAGAAGTTATAGTGAACAAGGCGACTGCAAACCATGCCACGAAGCATGTGAAACATGCACAGGACCAGATCAAAAGAGTTGTTTAGCCTGTGCACCAGGCCATGTGAGGGTTATCGATTTGGATATATGCTTGCAACAATGTCCTGAAGGATATTTTGAAAGTGGGTTATTGAAATTACACATTTTAGCAGAGAAAATAAGATTTGTGTTTTTTAGACTTTTCTGATAGAACATGTATCCCCTGCCAACCAAACTGTGCTGGATGTCAAGATCGTCCAGATCATTGTACCAGCTGTGACCACCATCTTTTACTTTACCAGAATAAATGTCTAGCTTCTTGTCCTTCTAATACATTTGAGACTGATGATTACAGGTTGATACATTTTATAATACTTATTGAATTTTTGTTAAAATCTATTATTCTTTTATTTTCCAGATGTGCGCCTTGTCATGAATCCTGCGAAACCTGCAAGGGCTCCAACAGTTCCCAATGCATAAGTTGTCCATCGGGTCGATTCTGGAACGAAGGACGGTGCGTGGGAGAATGTCCAGCACATCACTACGCTGACTATAACCAGAGAGAATGCGTAGAGTGTCCTCCAGGATGTAGTGAATGCAACGCCACTACGTGTATATCTTGTCTTGACGACTGGAAAATTAATCTCAAAGGACGATGCCAGACTCAAGCTAGTGATAAATGTGATGTTGGTAAGAATTACAAGTCAAATCATAAATAATTAGTACCAAAATTAAATTAAATTTCTAGATCAATATTATGATAATGGCATTTGCAAGCAGTGTCACTCCACTTGCGATTCCTGCGATGGTCCTACTGAAAGAGCATGCCTAGCATGTGCGAGCCCCTTAATACTTCAAGGTACCAGATGTGTTGGTCGATGTGACGATGGATTTTTCCATGTCAAGGATAATCAAATTTGTGAGCCATGTTTGCATATGTGTGCTAAATGTGTGGCCAAAATGAATTGTACTGATTGTGTGCAAGGATTACAGGTAGGAATTTATCATAACTCTCAACGGATGTTGGCTATTACTATAAGATTATACGTATGTTGACATAGCTGCTCTCAGTCATTTTAAAATCACATCAATGTTTCGGGCCGTTTTTTCAAAGGAAAGTGTTCACGATCTCTGTTGAAGAGAAGATCCATAAACAACCTGAAGAGATACGACAAGTTATTCATATAGCTCCAAAATTTTTCATCCAACACTAACAAACGAATTATTCAACAGCAAGGACCACTTTGATAATCTAATATCAAGTCCAAGTGGTAGAGGAGCTAACCTCCAAATATTCATGCTACCTAGTTCTGGAAATAGGTCTACTGTATGTCTTTTGAGTTAGTTGATCAGAATTTTCAATTGTTTACCAGAAATTATCTTCACAAACCTCTTAATTCTGAATGATGTAAGCTCCTGTGGGTTCCTGGGCAATCGGGGATAGAAGGCACCCTAAACAAGACCAAAACCCGCATTTGGTATATCAAAGCAGGTCATAAAGATAGCAGTTGAAAGGTGGTCGACCTATCAACACTTCGACTATTGGCGGTCCACACCTGGAGCAAGACACTCTAAGGAGATAATTAGAAACCCCCCAAAGATGCTAACAGCTGAAGTACTGTCACTAACGCGTATTCAGATAAGGCGGGTGGTAGGACTACTAACAGGACACTGCCATCTTAAAGCGCACATGCAGAAAATTAGAGTCTACAATGGCCCAACGACATGTAGACTGTGTGATGAAGAGGAGGAAACCGTCTTACATAATATACGACTGTGCAGCACAGGCTGAAAGAAGACCTAATTTATTTGGAGGAATACAACGCGGCAAGAAACTTGCCAGCAACCTGTTAGATGTCATCAAACGGACCGAAGTTGCTTAAGCAAGAGGGTAGCACAATAAGCCTCAAGGCTGCAGTGCAAATCGGAACACGAGCACGCCTGACCCCGCCTCAAACCAACCAACTCCCGTCGCACATTTTTCTTCAAAACTCTCCCTCCTCTTTCATTTTTTCAGCACCCCCTACCTAAGGATGTGAGAGGACGAAGATGAAGGAAGTTCTTTCCCTTATAAAACCCTGGAAACAGAACGTTTCTTCAGTCGAAATAGTTGATTAAAGTACGGAATTTACGATACCAGCAATAGAATATCACGCGTGCAATAATTGAATTGTAGCATCCGCGCCAAGTACCTACTCTATTATTTAGGATAGATGGTAAATTGCGAGCGGTCGTCTTTGATGGTAATTATTTCCTTGGGCAGCTACAGTAAAATAAAATTGTGGGGGCGGGTATATTTGCAAGTGAGAGAAACAACTGATGTACGGTTATTCATTAATAAATATTCTGTATTCGAGAAAATAAACAGAGCTTTTCACATGAATTTCTTGTTCGGGTTCAAAGATATTAGGGTTATCACGATTTTTGTTTAATCGTTGTATCAACGCTCCTTTCTGTTGGCTGAGAATATAATAATTTGGTTTTTTCCTTATGATTTTTTACGTAATCGTTGATTAGTAGTTGATCGAGTTGGATGTTAAAAGAATTATTACTCGAAACATGGTCATTTATGATATCAATGGGTCTAAATTTTGTTGCGGATTGTATTGTATGATTGTAGCCTAATATTGCGTAAATCATTTTCAGGTGGACTGATGTTTTAAGAAATCCGCGGGTATTTAGAGTTTTAACGTTTTCTAAAATTGTTGAGTGGAATCTTTCAACAATACCGTTTGAATCCGGGTGATTTGGGCAAATGAAATGAACTTTAATTTTGTGTAAACCAAGTCGTTCAGTAATCAAGATATTCTTAATTTCTCTGCCATTAGCTACAATAATTTGTTTCGGGGTAGATTGATGTGAGAAGTAATTTAATAGGCGGTCGTCGACCTCGACAGATTCTGCTGATTCAATTTGATATGCTTGAGCATACCTAGAAAAGCTGTCGACGATAGTTAAAAATTTGGTTTTTTCGACTGTAAAAACATCCATGTGGACAATTTCAAATGGTCTATTAGCAGTGGGTGTTACGTTAATTTTCACTTTCGTGTCTTTCGTATTTACATTGTTGACATATCTCACAAGTATTTATATAACTTTGTACTGAATTTTTCAAGTGAGGCCAATAATACTTTGACTTAATTTGCCTTTCAGTTTTTTCAATGCCTCTATGATTGGTTTTTCCCTCGTGATAGTTTTTTATAATTTCCTGAATATCGTCTTTATTAGTAACGTCCATTAATTTAATTTGACAATATTTTAATTTAATGAAGGCCACAATCTTTCATAAGGTTTAGAATGTCCTTTTCAAAATTACTTTGTGAGATTTGTACACCCATCAACAAAAAAAATCACTGTGACAGATGTCATGCGACCACAATCATGGCAAATTCGAAAAGTTCGCCTTAAATATGTTAAAAGTGGGGTTAGACGACCAGAAATCGAAAAATTGTAAAGAGAAAAGTGGTTCAGATTCCGATTTTACGTCCATGTGTTAATTTTTAGAAAGGTACAAGGATTTTTAATAAATTTGAATTTTTTTGTCTGTTTTCTGGTAATTTGAAAAATATCGAAAACATTTCGAAAAAATATTGGCTTCATTAAATTTAGAAAAGAGGTATTGGACCATTTAGAAAGATTTCATGATAATTCTAAATTTGTTATTTCAAATTTTTGTTTTCTGAAGGTCATTGCTACAAGATCATAGTGGTCTGAAAATGAATTTTTAGTTTTTTACAATTTGGCGCGGGACAATTAAGCAGAATCACCGCACTGGATTTTTTTTTGTTAGTTTCATTTTGAATTATGTGAACCATGCGGAAAGTTTTTGATATTTTTCAAATTACCAGACAACTGGCCAAAAAATTGATATTTTTTAAAAATCCTTGTACCCTTTTAAAAGTTGGCACATAGACGTAAAATCGAATCCTGAACCACTTTTCTCTCTACAATTTTCGATTTCTGGTCATCTTACCCCACTTTTTACATATTTGAGGCGAACTTTTTAAATTTGCCGCTATGACTGTGGTCACATGACATCTGTGACAGTGATTTTTTTGTTGATGAGTATGCTGAATCGATCCCACGTAACATTTTTTTTGATATCCTAATAATAAAATATTTTCCCATTTGTTGCAAACTTTTTGGCGGTCACTGTATGGTGTGAATAAAATTCCTTTACCAAAATCGATATTTGTGTACTGTGTTTGTGGGTTGAAATCTGATTGCCTCTTCGAACTAAAAATGGGTCTTCAATTATATTTTCAGCATAAAATCTGGTTGCTAAATCGGAATTAATAAATGATCTTCAAGAACCACTGTCAATTAAAAGTTTTAAATTATGCTCTGGTAGAATAATATATGGTAATTTACTGACATTAAAATTATTAATAGAAATTATGTGAGCGGTTACGTGTTCTCGTTTAGTTGAGGTGCTTCCTGAAAATTTTGGCTTTCTTCCGGAAATTCTACAGTTTATTCTTCGAGTTAAAAGGAAGAACCCGCTTCTCCAAAATCGTAATATTGGTTTTTGGAGTTCTGATCAAAACTTTGATCGCATTCGTCATGCACTTCGGAATATTGGTTTATTTCAGTGTTATACAAGTCCTCTGAGATAACATAATTTTTTTGTTGTTGGTTAGGAAAACTCTGTCCTTGATTTTGAGAATTATTATTGTAAGGATTTCTCATATAATCAGTTGAGAATCGTGAAGTAGTACTCATTGGAATTGGTTTCTGGAAATTTTTAGTTTAACCAGGCCTGAAAACATTTTGATTTTGTGGTTTTCCGAAAACCTGGGAATTTGTAGAGAATTTTTGAGCTTGCGGTCTTGATTGAACGTTAATCGGTTGTGAAGGAAAGGCATTATTTTGCCTCCTGAAGAAATCATTATTCATTAGGGGTGTGGTAATTAGGACTATTAGAGTTCTGATTAGAATAATTATTATTGGATCGTGAAAAGATATTTTGGAATTTCGTTGGCTTTGTATCTTGTGTTTTGGCGTGATTTTGGAAATATTGGTTATTATGTTCTTGATTAATCATTTGCATAGCTTCGGGAAGAGTTAGCGGACGCATACATCTAATATTAGTTCTAAAGGTTGTCTCAAACCTGACAAAAACGTTTTTAACGCTAAATCTGAATATAAATTACATTTTAGTATTTTAGCAGCGTCTGCATGTTCGTGCGTATCGACATATGAACATAATAAGTTCAAAATGTGTAAAATTTTGTCATAATATTGTGATGAAGTTTCATTTGATTGCTGTCTCAACATAACCAAATCGCGATTAAGGCAAGCTTCGTCGCGCTTACCGGCGAAGTTCCTTTCTAGCGTCGATTTCAAGTCGTCCCAATTGGACACATTTTGAATATCAATTACTACTTTAGCTGTACCAGTTAACTTTCCTATCAAACAATTAATTAGATAGATATTTTCGAATTTACTAGGATATCATAGAAAGTTCGAATTAGGCTGTCACATGTCGCCAAATATCTGTTAAGGTCATTAGGGTTCCCTTCGAAAGTGGGAACACAGTTTAAATAATCTGGTTTGAATACAGGCATTCTAATGTTGTTACTTGACGATGTACCTGCGGTACTTAATATGCAATCTATTCTATTAGATATTGGTGAGTCAGCTGAAGTGATTGTCAATTTATTCAATATATGAGATAAATCATCGACAGACATCAACGCTGTAAGTTGTACTTACATCAACAACCAGACGATCAGCATCCTTATGGTAACTATAAGGGACAGGTCCAATGGGCGGCGATTTTGTCCTCCAAATTCCTGCCTCCTTGCGTAACTAGAACGATTGAACTAATCACCAATGTTCGATTCCCGAGAAATCGTTGAAACGAACGTTTTTCGAATCGACCGTAAAACTTCGGAAAATCCTACCGACTGCGCCACTTAAATAACCGGAATGCCAATGTCTATTTTTTAAAAATATTATTTATTACGAAAATTACATAGATCAATAATTGA